CCCAGGTTCCCCCCCAAACCTCCCAATTGACCTGGACTGTGGGTTCTTCCAGAGGGGAAGGTCTCTGGGCTGTTCCCCAACCCACATGGTGAATCTCTGAGGCAAGAAAATCTGCCAATAAGGGCAGGACCCACCAAGATTGAGGAGGAACTTTGTCACAAATAATTTTCAGCAGCTTGTAACTTTTGACTAACTCTGCCCAGTACTTAAACCAGGCAGCACCACCACACAGGAAACCCAGGTTCAATTTCCAGATAATGACAGCTGTCCCTACAGGGCTAGCTGTAAGCTATGAAAGACAGAGGCCCTGTTTCTCAGATGCACTAAAGCTGCTTTGCATCACTGCACTGATGCACAGAGGCCTGAAAGATGATGGAGCCGACCGCAGGAGGATCAATCTAGCACAGAGGAATGGTATTAGGGACACAGAATTACCACAATGGATTCTGTGCTACCATCCCCTCTCCTGGCTGTCAAGGTACTGAGCTCTCATGGACCTCAGTGATTCCTCCACTGCAGTTAATAGCCAGGATGAAATTAGTGTAGCCCTAAGCTGCTGTAAATTATGCTCAGAAAGAAGGCCAGTGCACAGCCAGCAATCCATGCCTAGCATTTCAAATACATCCCAATGGTTAGCACTGCAATTCATAGAGTTGCTTTTTCTTAAATTCTATTTAAAACAGAGGTCTAAAGTGAACCTACATTGAGAGCTGCTGATTTTCCAATTTACATCTGATTAAAAAATACATTAACAGGGGACACTGGTGTTTCCATCTGTAGCTGCTCAGGGACCTGCAAGAGAGGAAAAGAAATCTCATAAAGCCTAAAATAGAGGAGTGAATCCTTACAATAAAATCTCAAGTGTTTTTGAAGACTAAATCACATATACATTATCACTGAGTCTGCGGTTATCTCTATGGATTTTACCTCCTCAACTAGAATTGTACCAGCACTATTTATCCTGCACGAACTATCAGGAAATGAGGAATTTAGTGGACTTCATTTTCTTGCTTAGTATTATGGGTGGTGACCTTGCACCAAATCTCATTGGGGTTCTGCCTGGGCACACAGCTTTGCTTATGTAGATGCAGCAGCATGATCAGGGCCTTAAAATGGTTGCCCAGAAAAATATGATCGGTCACATTTTAGTTTAGCATCTGAACACAAGATGGTTGAGAAATGGGAAGTGGAGAGAGATTTAAAAAAAAAAAAAAACACTGTAGAAGAGAATTCAGTGCCTGTAACCCTTTGGTTTGTTGCCAGCACTCTAACAGTGCTATGAATGTAATAGAACATACAGGGCTCCTGGCAAAACCAACCAACCAAACATGCCACTTTTCTAAAGAATTTGCAGATCCAGTATTAACTGGAGTACGGCTTATATGCATGTACATCTCCTGAGAAGTGGGTTAGGCTTCAGAACCATAAAATAGTGTAGACAAGAAAAGAGTGTCAAAGTGCTGAGAGTCATTGCTAAAATTTTATTGTTCAAAGAAACCTCTTATTTCTGTCGATACCAATTTAAAGATGGGACTTCCACTTCTTGTGACTTTTTTTTTTAATGTCTTAGGGGACACTGGAGTCTAAATATAAGCAAAATACTCCTCACTGATGAAAGAAAGGAGAGTTAACATAGATTATTACACTTTTAAGAGTGGGTCTGCCTCTGGTACGAATATTCTTCACTAGGTAAATTGTGACTAAAATAGATTATTCCTCCAAATCATCAATTAATTGTACCTTAGTTGATATTAGATAACTAAGACAGTTTATAGCTGGGCAGAGGAATTTTGTTTGAGTCAGAGAGTCCTATTTGGTTTATCATAGATCACTTATGTTTGCCCATATATAGGTTATCTTATTAACTAAGTCCTATGAAAGGGAAACAAAAGTATTTAATTCAGTTACTTAAAAGAAACCATTCAAGAATTAAATTAACAATGTTTCTTATAGGTCCACCACTCAGAGTGGTCCTGAGGCAGTCAAATTAATGAAAATTAAGAATCTTCAGTTTCACTTTAAATCCCATTACGTCTGTTTTGATCAAGGTTCTTGTTTCCCCTCCAAAAGGGCATAGTCCAACCATTTCAGTGTTTGCATGAGAAGTTGTTACTTCCTCAAATTGTCTTTTCAATATCCCATTAAAATAATTTCAAGAACAATTTTAATCTACTCACTTGACAATGCTTTTGGAAACTATAAAAACTGTTTTCCAAACTTTTCCAAAATAGGCATTCATCTATCAATTCTCTCACTTTAGCTAATCCAGCCTGGAGTTGAGACTCCTCCATACTTTTGTTCTAAGCTTACTCCATTCTGAAGTTGTGCAAGGAGACTGTTAGCCCCAAAAATTAAGTCTTAGAATGGAATCTTTTACTAAACATTATGCACTACAAAATAAGACTTCACCACTTCCCCTATTGTCTACGATCAAAAACAATGTAGTATTGTACCAGTGCATGCAAGAATGTAAACATTACATTAATTAGTAACTGACTATAGACTGTACCAACCTTTGAAAACTGTTTTGAAAATATCAGCCCAGGAGCACTATCTGGTCACCACCTTTTGATGTGATTTTGGATTGGTGGGGCAGATATTTGACTTGCTAGTCAACAGAATACTACTCCCAAGCGAGCAGAATTTTGTAAACTTGGAATACTTTGATTTACATTGGTCAATTTTAGAGAGATGCAAGCAAACTGCAGATGTAGAAAAAATGAAATCTTAAACTATAATAATCCAAGGTGTTTAACGTATAGATATTACATGTTACCTCAGTAGCTGTCAAAATAAAACCATAATAGGACTTCGTACAAACTCTGCCTTCACTTAATTGAAATTCAGTCTATTCGAACAACATTGTTTCATATCAACTGACTTGATTTGTGCTTGTTGAGGGATTTGGTGGACTATAAAAACGACTTTTATAGTCATGAAATATTCTGTAATACTGCCACCCAGTGGCCAAATACAATTAGTAAATGTGTATCTTCAAAAACCTAAGTACTTACACTTCAATTTTTATTCATGATACATTGTGTGCCCCATTCAGCTGTAGAATGGGGAATATGGATCTTGGGTCTGTTGCACAAAATGCATATTAAATGTCAGGACTACTCTGTTAGCGGAGGACAGTTCTGCTATAAGATATTGCAAAATGTTTTCATTTAAATAAATTGTTTGCAATTCTTTTGCAGAAATGAAAAACAATCAGCAGTTACCTAAAAAACACAAACTTTTGGGGATAAAACTTATTTGGCTCAAAAATATCTTAGTTTTTTTTTTTACTGTTTCAGTTTTCAACTAAATATAGTTTTTCATTTATTTACTATCCCATTTTCTGAATTTTAAAAGTTAATATTGCAACACAAAACAATGCCAAATGAAAACTAACCAAAAATATTTGAACTGATCATGTAGAATGTTAACATATTTTTGTATGTTCTGTATTTACACAGTAAAAAAATCAGAGGATATTGTAACTCTAGACAATGTTATAATATAGATAAGGCAAGTTCTCTAACCCAAATAGATTGCAAATCTAGATAAGCAGCCTATGACACAGAAAATATTTCAGGAGTCTGTTGTATCTAGCTGTTTTCTTATGTTGTAAACTTTGGTCTTTGGGACAAGGATCATCTTTGTGTTTATGTGCCATTGTGCTAAGCTACGTACAATCAGGCCTCCAAGGTGCTACTACAATATCAATAATGAAAAAAGCAACAACAGAGTATGACTGGAAGATAGTGAATGAGGCAGGATTTAAGGAGGAAAGAAAGGGCACTCAGCATAGGACACTGAAACATATCAACACAAAGGGCAACAGAACAGTTTTTTAAAGAAGTGTAAACAGATTAATACACATAGGAGGCAGCACAGCCTAGAAGTGTTGGACTTTGGTGTTCTAGTCCTTGTTCTGCCACTTGCTTTACATATGGTTTTCAATTTTGCCATCTACAAGGGGAGGATACCTACCTACCTCTCAGGGGTAAAAGGACTTAACATCTATGAAGCCCTTTGAGATGTTCAGATGCAACGTGCTACAGAACTGCAAGAAACAGCATTTATGCCAAGTCTTGCAGCAGTGGAGGAAGATAGTACATGAGAAGTGGAGTATGTGTATTGTTAGCTATCTGACTTGTGATGAATTATAAATGTTATTTTAAGTTCTCCTTACAGTAAGTTATCTTTGTATTGTTGTTATATTGCTATACCCTTACAGAGAATAAACTTAACTGGAGCTAATGATTTTAAAGGAATCCTATATTTTACATCCATTAGCAAGCAATTCCTAAATATGTAACTCATGGCTGTTTGGCAGAAAAACTGCTGTTTTATTTAAAACAATTTTAAAAAGAGAGGCAAATGTACTTTTCTATATTAAATACACCAAAATTCCCTTTGAAAAGCTGTATTTATAGTTCCTTATACAGTTTCATTTTGAAATTGTTTATTAAAAAACATCCAGTGCATTTGCTGTCTTCAAAACCAAAAGAAAGTACTTTACAAAACAGTGAGTCCATACAACTATTTACACATATGGAAAATGAGTTCACATCTTAGAGTTTCACGTTCTCGGTGGTTGATTCATTAGTAGGAGAAGGTTCAACAATCAGTCTTGGTTCAATCAGTGCACCCCAGCTTTCAGTTATCTGAAACAAACGTATAATATTTAGCATGGAGAGAAACAGGAGATTCTTTTATTGTCTATATTTGTGCTAAGAAGGTACATATCAGCTATGCATCTAAACAAGAACTACTGTATAGTACAAAGATCTGTATGGTGAATCCCTACTCTGCTTTCCCAATACACACAGAATTCCACTGACATCAGCAAAGATCCACACATGGAGGGAGAGTAAAATACCAGATGAATAGACAAACTTGTAAAAACTGAAGTATGCTAGACATAAGATTGAATTCTGTTATATTAAGAAAAAAAGTCTTCAAAAAATTTTGTTCAGCAAATTGTGTGTATATACATCTGTACACCTACATAGCTATTAAATGAGGTATAATGTTGAAGTAATTGCTATAATATAAATATACACCAATCACTATAAAGAAGCAATTATTTATTTTTGTTTTCGCTCATTTTCATTGAGACGTATTGACAAATCGAAATCTCATTAAAACAGGTAAGTTCCTTAGCTGCAATGAACAGTCACATACAACTGATACTATTCCAACTGTGCATAGCACACAGCCAAGCAGTTTAAAGATTAACACACCTTCGTATCCTGAGAAACAGCATATTCTATCACTTCAGCTCCATCTGCAGACTCGTACACCAGATCAAACTTTCCTGGCTCTTTCACCACTTAAACAAGAAAAAACAAAGATTTCCAGTTAGTTTTATATAAATGTAAAAGTAAACATTATTTGTATAATAAAAGCTAGTCAAGTTCATTTATTTAATCAGCAATACACATTACAACAAACACTGTTACAATCATTCACTCCCCAGTGGTTCAATGAAGCAGTTGAGCAGTAATGACCATACACTACTCTGTGTTTACACTACACTGTATCACACGAGACAGTATCAACTCATTAATCTGTTTGCGGTAGGGACCCATTTGTCACTAGTGTGTGTGTGAGATGACCTAGTTCAACCCCTTCCAAATTACAATACCAGTATCTAGTTAAGACCACACAGTAAAAAGTCAACATTTGCCAACTCAAATCACAAATCTCGCCTGATTTAAGTATAAGGAAAAACTATGTCAAACTCAGATGTGTGGCAGCTGTTGATAAATGCTGGTTGTTAAATGGCAACAGCTACTTGCATTCATAATTTCAATCAAGTATTTGAGATGCGCTCCATTACTTTGTAAGGACTTAGTCCTACACCAGATAAAGTCAATAGCAAAACTATTAACTTCAAAGGACTCAGCCCTAAAATTTCTTCCATTCACAAGCACGTCTATTCCATTTATTTTCATTTAACCATTTTAATCTTTCGGATGATACAGTGCAGTTCCAATGGGACATTGTTCACTTTCTAGCTGTGAATAGTACAACTCAAAGTGAACTTTGTATGCATGATGCCACACCTGACAAGTCATTCGAGTATCCAAACCTGCTTGGCAATATGTACAACCAACTTCAAGACAGCAAGCAAGTGCCATGGATTTTCTGTATTTAACATACTATTTTAATCTGTGGGAAATTTTATGATGTTTGAGGTAATGCTGAAAAAATGTGTCTGAAAAATTGTAATATATTGTCTTACAGATGTTTACCACTGCAACAGAAATTACTTTAGATATTTACATACTGACTTCTGGAGTTACAGATACTTGCCTGCTGAAGATGAAAGAATCTCAAGCTCCAGCTGTTTGTTATCAGCATTCCAACTGATTATTTTTCCCTCCTTCAAAAAAACAACAAAAACGGTCCTATGGTGAAGCATAGCAAATTTGACAAGTATTTCATATTACATTACAAGGATATGCTTGAACACAGCCAGAGCATATATTTCTATTTGATGAAGTCTTTTGTCCAGTTCTGAAAAAATCTGTTAAAGTATTAAACAATTAACTTTACTAATTTCAGTTCATTTAAAACTTTTTAATGCCAATAACCCCAAATCTTTTATTGCTACATTAATCCACAATGACTGTGGCAATCAGTCAGCTATAAATCAAGTTCTTTGAAACTGCTACAAAGATATGTTTTTAGTAATTCCATGAAATGTCTTGACAACTTCAAACAAATGTGCCAAGTCTTTCAATGTTCTTTTGCATCCAAAAGCTTGGAATTTTTCCTCACATTTTAAATTGTTTGCTCTTAAATCAGCAGTATTGTTTACATGTGTTTTTCTATTGCCAACACTTTAATATTTTGAATATTTATATTGGAAATAATCTGCATGGTAACATGAGGAGTGGGGGGGAATATACAATGCACAGAATTATAAAATATCTAAGACTCCCCCAAAACCTTGTCTTACCCACTATAGTATTATACATACATTTTTTGAAAAAATACCTTGTAGTCAGATACTTCAGGAGTGTAATTTTCAGTTAATTCCAAAAGCTGTTAAAAGAAAAATATAAATCATTAAAAGACATGAAAAATTGTATCTCCTGCTTCTGGCCCTTGCTGACCCACTTACTATCCAGCCTGGGCCCTATCACTGAGGGGAAATGCATAAGAGCTGTGCATTCTGCTCCTAGATCCTAATGCTTGCCCCAGCTAGTATTCCATGACTGATTGCTCCAGTGGCTTTCCATTCAGCTTGGACTTCAAGAAGAGATCACTGTGACTCCAGTTTCCTCAGCACCAGTGAATGTTTTCTTTATTTTTGATTTTGGAAATGAAGGAGCATTATTTTTATAGCAAATTTTGCAATGATGTCACAGAAACACCAGATAGAAAGAAAGAGTAACTTAAGAGGATTTTCATAGTGACTTTATTTTTGTGTGTGTGAAGCACTTCTCTCTGGGGTGGTCTTTAAGGAGTTGTTCGTATCACAATAGCTTTTCCAAGGAAAAGAGGCGTTCTGGGAAGGTTCAAAGTCAGCTTGATTAACTGAGGCTTGACTCACGTGGTCTGAGGGAAGGATCTATTATACAGATTTGTCTACGAATTCCTACTGAAATTGAGGTGGAGATGGCGAGTATGACATTTCTTTGCTTATGTTGTCATTCTATTAAGTTAAAACAAAATAAACTTAAACGCACTAGTTCAAAAGCTTTCTAAAATAGAGGCATCAATTGATTCCTTTCAAGTTGTGTCTTTAGAGTAAGACAATTTGAAAATATATGCACAATCAAAACTGTAGCAGGTGCTTTTATTCAAGAAAATACTTGGTTAGAGAAATTAATGAATAATTTTAGAGCTACTAGCAAATACAAGGTATACCAGAAGGCTTAGAGGGCTTCGAACCAGTCAGAGTTCCAGATTTCTTATAAAAAGACTTAGACAAAAATGCCATTCACCGATGAAGGTGAAAAGGGGTTCTTTGAATACCCAGTTCTTATGCTAATGGTTGAAGGCCTAGCTTTATAGTTCATCTGGAAAGGTTGTGATGTCAATCCTACTGGGACCCATTTTTCCTCATCTAACTTACAAGCTAGGGGAACCAAGGTTAACTGCATATCAGGATAAATGCAAACATATTGTCTGATACTTCTAGAGCAACAATCACTAAATAATGCAAGTTTGAACATTGCAACATTTTTGGATGTCACAGCTAAAGTAATAAATTGCAAAATTTATTATACTGGTACATCTGAGCCATATGACTAAACACTATATATTTTAGGATTTCCTTACCTTAAAGGCAATTTTCCCCCCTACTTGTGGAGGGGCAGCTAATAGAGGTAGTACACTATAGTCCCTCTTTGGAACTTCCACTGGATTCTGTAAAATAAACATTAAACTTATTGATTCAATTACTTAACAAAAGCAAATAAGTAATATTAATGCTGTATGAAAGAAAACTCAGAAAATCCATCACACAAACCAGCATCCAACCCAAAAGGCAGAGCACAAGCTATGTGTATAATATAAAACAACAGTATTTTACAAACACTTGTTCAGGATGTGAGTTAGCTGTCCTTAACCATATGAACAGTACAGTTGTATTCTTTACACTGGGCTTATTCTTATCTGTTTTGTTTTGTTTTTACAATTTATGCTCATTTGATGTGAGAGGCAGTGTTCCCTGGTGGATAGAGCACTCAGTTGGGACTCTGAAGACCTGAGTTCTATTCCCAGTTCTGGCACTGGCCTGTTGGGTGACCTTGGGCAAATCACTTCTCTTCACTTCAATTTCCTATCTGTAAAATGGGCATAATGATATCGACCTTCTTTGTTAAGTGCTTTAAGATCTAGTGTTGAAAAGCATGATATAAGAGCTAGTGGTATTACTGTGTTTTTGTATATTCAATTACTAACATTTTAGTAAGAAAACTATAAATTTAAAAAAAAAATCTTTAAAGAAATGTGTTATAAGGATATAAATAGTCACTCACCTGGATAACAACTGAAGTGTTTTTTGCTGCTTCATTTAACTGCTGCTGTTTCTGGCTTTCACTGCTGTAGTTGAAAAAGACTCTATTGCTTTCTCCTCGGCTTCGACCCCGGCCCCGGCCTCGGATCATTCCACGACACCCACGGCCCCTATATCCTCTCCAGAAGAAGTTATCCTCTCCTCTTCCAAGTCCCCTTCCAAAACTGCTAGGGTTTACAGCTGGTCCTTGATTGCTAGTTGGCAACTGTTTATCACCATTTCTTACTAAGGATTTATTGAAGCCAACATTTGCTATGGGCTTTTTAATAACAAATGTCTCTGAATCTGAACTATCAGACTTTGAAGAGGAGGTCTTTGCCTTGAGGGACTTTGACATAATGTTCACAATTGGTGGATTTTTAGGCAGCAAATTTTTCTTTGAGTTACTGCTTTGCTCCTCCTCCTCCATACTAGAGTCAGAATCTGAACTCGAGGACTGGGGTTTAGCTTTTTTACTAATTGCAGTCTTAGGGGAATTTTCATCTTTAGACTTTGCAGTAACTTTACTAGCAGCAACAGCTTTTATAGCAGAATTTGCAGCAAGCTGGGCTTTGTCTCTGGGTAGGGTTGCTGCCACAGGTTTATGTGAGGATTTATTTTGTTTCATATCCATTTCACTGTCAGATGATGTGCTGGAAGAATCACAATCTGAAATTCCCCCTCTCTTTTTGCTGGACTGTGCTGCAATGTTTTTTACTGTGCTGCTTTTACTAGGACTCAGAAGGAAACTGTTGTTGGCCTTTTCTAAAACAGTCTTTCCTTTAACTGCCCTTGTCTTTCTCTGCTTAGCATCCTTTCTTTCTGGCTCCAGCTCTTTCTCCCCCTCTGACTTTTTTTTAAGCTTTTTGGACTCATCAAGACCACTGTCTTCCTTACCTCCTGTGATACCATTTCTTCCATTCACCTCTTCTTTTCTTTTTCTTTTCTTGGACTTTTTCCAAGAGTCTTGAACATTTACAAAGTTCTCGTCCTTATAAGAAAGATGTTCAGAGTTCTGTTTCTTCTTCTTCTTTTTCCTTCTGTGTCGGTCATCTTCACTTTTAGACTCTCCCTCTTCATCCAACTTTTGCCTGTGTCTTTTTCTCTCTTTTCTTGATGAATAAGTGATACTGTTACCCATCTCATCACAACTATCTGCAACTACCTCTTCCAATTTAACTCTGTGAAAAAGACAAAGAGAAACAAGTGTTCAGGATAACTAGCAAATTAATATTCCTTTCTACATGTTGAGTTTGAAATGGTTATTAGATTCTTGTCTTTTAGAAATAAGGATGTCACAGCTATTCACTTAGCAGCTAAGGAATATTAACTTAGTAGATGAGGAGATGCACCTATAAATCTCCCAACAAATTATGCCACCAAGGACTAAACTATCTGCCATCAAACAGGCTAAAATCCCCATATGCTCACTTTGGGGGGGGGGAGGAGATGGAGGACGGAAGGTGTGCACACACTGCAACATGTTCCTGTTGCTTAAGGGGACCACATGCCAGTGCAGATGCCATGGAGTAGGGGAGCTCAGTGGGAAGTCTGCAGGGAACATGGGCTGCACTTTCCTCCATGATTTAAGAAGCCTTGTCTTGCACCCCAGATTTCCTCTAGCCACACTTGTCAAACTGTTTGGTCTGAGGCACAGACTGTAGTAGGAAGAGAGCCCTGAGACATAAGCCCTTGTATCAAAGGCCTGGTATGAGGCAAAACCTGCTCACAAAATCTGGCAAAAACAGGGCTGATATTGAGAAATACACATTCCTAAAAAGTGCTCGTCACAAAGTACTCATGCAAACACATCTCAATATCAAGTGGTACTAGAACATCCAGATATCAAGAATGCTACAAAAACACTCCCCAAGGATAACAGGAACACACTGACCCCTCCTAAAAGATAAGGTCAGGAAGACAGTACGTAATAAAAATGTTTTGATCACACCAATGTGTACAAGGTGATGTGTGATAACTAGCCACGTCGGGGGGCAGTAACTAACTATGTCAAATGGGCAGTACTAACTTATTTGTATCAGAATATACAGATGTATCTCAGAGGGAGTTCACTGAGCTGGTCCATTGTTACAGGCATACATTTATTAGTGGTCCGGTAGAGTCTGCAGAATGCTAGTGCCATGCTTCGTCAACAATGAACCTGGCTGGGTGCCTTCGTCCCTTAATGAATCTTGTGGTCATTGGGCGGTTCACACAAGGTTTGTCGTGCCAGCTGTCTACACAGGACTGGGGCGGCACACAGAGAGAACACACACACACAGCCAAACATCTGTCAACATCTAACCACACCGGCTTTGTAGGACACGGTAGGCCTGCCTCCAAAATCTCAAGATTTTAAGGGTATTGCCAGGCAACAATAAAGATGCTTTTCAAGAGAGAGTTGAACCTAGACTACAATATGACCGGCTGATGTGATTTTAAAAAGTATTAAAAGGTGTCTGCGCAAGGGGAAGAGGGTGTTCCAAATCCTGTTAGCTATTTTCAGAAACAGGTTTTCCCATCCACTAGGCAAGAGCGGAGCGGAGCAGCCATGAAAGTCGGGTTGCGAACCCTCCAAGATGGGCCTGGAATCTCTGGGAATTAAAGATTAAAGATTATGTCAGGGGGTGAAATCTCCAGGAATACATGTAACCAAACTTGGCTATATGAAAGCAACACGGCAGAGAACGGAGGAGGTGCAGAGAGACGACTCCTGGTTGGGCTCGCTGCAAAGCGGAGATTTGAGTCTCAAGGCCCAGGCTCCTCCAGCCACCTGGGGAACAGCCGAGTTTCCTAATAATAATTTAAACCCCCCCCTCTCCTATGGCTCCATTTTTTTGTCCCAGCCTAAAGCACCACCTTGGGCCAAGGCAGCCTAGGCAGAAACATCAGGGGTGTCAATCTCCCACGGGGGCAACTGAACCGTGGCCAGAGGTGCCCCCACCAAGATTCGCTGCTTCCGCCCCTCCCCCCTCGGTGCCTGAGGGAGTCTCGCGCCCACCCCACACCTGAGGGAGTCTCGCGCTCGCTCCTCCCCCCCCCCCCGCTACCCGAGAGAGTCTCGCGCCCGCCCAATCCCCCGCTACCTGAGGGAGTCTGGCGCTCCCTCCCCCCACCCCACCTGAGGGAGTCGTTGTCCCGCACCAGCCGCGCGCTCTCGGTCGGGGGCAGCAGCGCCCCCTCCAGGAAGAGGCTGAGCTGAGCCCGGCGGCTGAAGCCGAACTTTTCCCGGATTAGGCTGATGAGGTCGGTGACCAGGCGCACTTGGCTGGGCTCCAGCAGCAGCCAGCACAGCGAACAGCCCGGGCTCCCCGGCGGCGGGTAGTCGAAGAGCAGCCGGAGCCGCACAGGGCCCCCTCCACCAGCCGCCGCCATCTTGGACAAGGAGGCCGGAGAGGGGCGGGATGCTACGGTGCCCCACGCGGGACAAGAGAGGCATCACTCAGCAACTTCGGGTTGCCCACGCCACCTGCCGGCGGCAGCGGCGAACTACAGCCAGAGAACAGTGCATGCTGCGGCAGGGAACGGCTGGATTGTCAATCACTCTATCACAATCGTGTTCATATGGATCACCAGTAATTATTGTGAGTGTTATCGACTTTGGTTTTGTGACGACTGTGGAGCTCAGCGCAGGATCAGGGCCCATATTTCCAATATTGTTCCCTATCTCCTCTTTTTCATAGTGACATTCATGAGAATTTGGGCACCGAGGAGCGATCTGAAGAAGAGCTCTGTGCGGCTCGAAAGCTTGTCTCTCCCCTCAACAGAAGTTGGTCCAATAAAAGATATTACCTCCCCCACCTTGGCACAGAGGAGTGTCTGTTTTAGACCCTGATCCTGCAGCTGGCAATGCATGGGCATTAGAATATGGCTGGGTGGAGCCAGATGCAGGATCAAAGCCTTAATTATCATTTAAACTCTCTGTTCCCTTTTATCCCCCCAACACACCCCTTGTAAAGTTAATCATGTAAAACAATTCTGCTCTTACGTTCTAAGGAGAACTGATATTAACATCTTAAATCCATGAGATTGATGTCAGATTTACAGGGTAGAGCCCTATGCATATGTGGAGTCTCATTAACTTCAGTGGATTACTCACATCAGAAAAATTACTCTTGTAGATAGTTTGGGTATCTGCAAGATAGGAGCAAGGAGTTCTTATAGAAAGTGTCAGACCTGAATACCATGAAATGAGAAGCTGAGATGTGTGGACATTAAAAGAGAGAGAGAGAGAGAAATATTTTCTTAGGATTATGTCTCCAGGAAGAATGAATTTGGAAAACCTAAATCACTAGAGAAGTTGTGGAAACAATGATTGTACATCCTTTTAGCACACAAATCACTCACTGATTTTATATACAATTCCTTTCCTCATCTCACAGGCTGGCTTTCGTGTCCAGCATCAGAAAAACCAGTAGTTCTCATGTAGACAAGCCCAATAAATTTTCTGGCATAACATAGGGAAATCAGCCAGTTTGGCAAGCCAGCTAAATCTGGCGCACAGATAGAACCATGTTAAGTGTAACTGGTATATTATCTGCAGCACAGATATCTGTTGCAATTACCATGCAGGGGAGGAGAGAGGGCGCCCTGGGGTAGTAACTGCTCCCTCTATAACCAGAGAGCCAGCACTTCCCTTTTCACTACGCAGCTGACTAGAGACCCGAGTCATATGATTTTCAGTCAGGAAACTCCCCAGTTGCTGCAGAGATGGAGCTGCTGCTTAGACAACATGTTATCCTGCTGCTTTTCCTGCTGACTTTGGGTTCAGGTATGTTTGGTAGGGGGTTGAGTGTACGAGAGATGCATGTTTCACTAGATCCATGAGGAATTATTGAAGCTAGGGGTGATGGACATTACTCACAAGCACCTTTCTCGTACAACTTGCTCTAAATTGACTGTTTTATGGCTTGTCAAACTTTCAGGCATTTATTGTTAGGTGAACACTAAGGAATGAATGATGCCTTCTTTTACCCTGCATAGCCGCTCCCCAGATATTTTTTGTGCTAGACCCTGGCAGAAGCATCTAAATCCAGATGTGCTGAGAGTTTTGTGCAGAGCTTTCAAAGTCTGATCCTTTTTAAGGGGGTCTGTTCCAGGCTCACACTCTTTTAAGCTTTGCCTATCCTGTAACGTTAATTATGTAATCCCTTTCTTGGAACACTCTGGCTGTTCCCTTGTTTTTCACAGTGGAAAAAGTTTCCAAGCATGTTCAGCGTCAGACCCTAAGAATATATGTAACTTAACCACATATAAGTAGCCCCACTGAAATCAATGACAAGTATTTGCATGAGTCAGAGATCTGATCCAATGTCCTAGAACGTACATGTACATCTGCTGTGGGCGTATTCTGCACCCCTCCCATCTGTAGGAGTAGCTCTTTCTTTTTACTCCCGTAAAAGTAGCCTTGTATTATTGAAGTGATAGACAGACAGTCTCTTATTTATGTGGTATGCATAAGACCTGCTCTCTGAGGCCCTGATCCTTCAATAAGGAATATGTGGATGGCCCTTTGCCCCCACATGGAGCCCCATTGACTTTAATAGAACTTTGCATGGGTCAGTCTGCACAACCTCAGGATTGTAGGTTTGGGGATCAAGTTTGAAAATTGGGTGTGTCCAAAAAAATATTGGTTGGGGGTGGTGTTTAATTTGAACATGATGTGCCTCTCTTTAATTTAGAGCTCTGTGCTGTGCACCCTTAAGCTATAGTGTCAGTCTTTATTATGTGACTGACTTTTTTCCTGGAGAAAAAGGTCCACTTCCCCTTCCTGAAAGCATGAACCTAGTGTGGGGTGGGTTAAAGATGCCAGCCTGTTACACAGAACAGAATTTAGATAGAATCTAATGCTCTAAACTCTGCTGATTCTCTCACCCTCTCTGGTCTCCCAGGACAAGTGGAGATAAGTCTCTGTTGTGTAACTTTTCTCAGATAAAACATTAAGCTGATGACTAAGAATAATGTAAGTGAGATGTTTTGGAGCTTACTGTCAGGGCTATTGATAAGATATAAGTGGGGAGACATTGTTTGTCTTATGTGGATAATTGTCTATGCACATGATCTATTAGCCTAGGTTTTAGATGAGGGATCATACTACTGATGATCTTGCTGGACCTCTAGGCTTCTTGAAATAACTAAATAAATTGAAAACACAAAAAGGAAAAATAGTTAACAAGCTGAAAAAACAATATTCCTTGTTCAAATTGCACCTCTATGACTTACTGCAAGCTATTGTATAATACATCATTTAGGGGGTTATAAAAAGACAAGGACTTGTAAAAATTAGGCTGCCTCTCTGCACATCAGCTGTTAAACTTCTTTCAAGCCCAGCTTCAGGATTTATCCTGAAGTTAGAACAATAACTTCGAGACACACCGATGTTGACCATTGTAAGCAAGTGCCCAGTGAACTCCTAATAACTGATTTAAAGTTAGAAGCACACTTCTACTGGGAAATTTATGTGGTTCAATTGCAAGCATTTTAGTTTACTTGAGGCTGACTTTCCTTCCTACCACAAGATTCTTGTGGCCTGGCCTTTTGGCTTCCACCTTCAGCTTCTATGATCCAAGCTCTTTGGTACTGGGTAATGGAGTATTCCCTGAAGTGAAGCTGCCTGAAAATTAAGGTCCCATCCTGCAATTGGACCTGGATCCTATACAGATCCTTGCACCCATTTCAATGGGGCTCCCCATAGGCACATGGTCTGCTGTTCTGGATCCAATTGTAGTATCAGGGCCATAGGTCTTTAGAGCTTGATACCAAACTCTCCCTGGGAGGTCATTGCTTGATTGGGCAGCAGAGACTTTTTCTTGAGTATAAGGCAAACGCATTGTTGCACTTCAAAGCAGATAGCATTTTTAGGTAATGGTAATAGTCCCAAATAGCTCGTCAACTAATGACACAGACGAATGCAGAGGACCGGTCGAGGGTGCTTTCCTTATTTTTGAAACCATGACACGATGTGAACTGATGAGCTGAAGTCCAATTTAGCAGTAAGAATTAATATGGATTCTTGATGCTACAAAGTATCAAGAAAAATATCAGAGGGTCACATCAGAGCTAGAGAGAACACGGCTAAACCAATTCTGTTTATAATATCATTCTACATGGGTAACCGTTTCTCTACTTGCAGTGTTTTCAAAACATTCTGATAACGCTGCTAGCAAATTGTAGGTTTCTTCAAGGCCATTAATGCTGCTGCTCCTGAAATCCAAGTGAAACAGCGCCCTTCAGAATAAGCAAGCACTTGAATGTGCTGTTGCAGAGATGTGGAGCAGTTCTTAACCCAAATTTCTAACCAAAAAACGGAATCATTCCAGTACTATGCTCTAGGGACCAACCTGCTTCTCAGCTACTGGACATTCCACATTGTTCTAGTGACTATTTTGTGATAAAGAAGACTAGGGAGGGGATTAAGCTTTAAAGGTCTGCTCCCTACAATGCATCTGCATCATACACCGTAGTAGATTATGCCCATTGAAATTAATATGAGTCTTCAGCTGCCTTCACTGGACTTTGGATCAGGCCCTAATGATGACTTTTCTTAGGGCCCTTAACTTAACAATAGTTTGATACTATAAGAACATGATTTGATCTTGCCTGTAAGACTGGGACCAAACCGTTATACCCTGAGGCTGAAATCTTGGCCCCATTACAGTCAATGGAAGACTTGACATTGTCTTCAATGGCACCAGTATTTCAGCCCAGCTCTTTGCAAGTACTTAAAGGCATGTCTGGTCCAGAAAATTTATTCCAGCATTTGGACAGCTGCACTGGTGGTAGCGATAATGGAAGGCCCCAATCCTGCTAACACTTAAGTACATGCATAACTTCATTCCTGTGGGTAGACCCACTGAAGTCAAAGTTATTTGCTGGATTTGGGTGGAAGTATGAGTGTAGTCAGAGTTCAGGTGTTTTGTTCAGTAGTAAATATTTTTGAATGAGAGTGTTTGTAATTACCACACCCAAAATTAAAACTCAGGGGTCTCAGCCAAGTCTCTGTTGGTCAAATGTTTCAAGGCCAAATGTTTCACACTCTAATTTAGGTTTGGCAAACTGGTCAGTTGACAAATAATGTCAACTGACCGGCTATTATTTGATCACCGTCAGTTATCCTGACAAGAATGCTCTGATCTACCTTTTTGATTGCATCATGGTACCATTCTTTCATTTTTTAGAACTTAATTTCATTGCGTTTCATATTTTTCTGAGTTAAAATAACTCAGTTAAGAACCAGAGGGGTAGCCGTGTTAGTCTGTATCTGTAAAAAGCAACAGAGGGTCCTGTGGCACCTTTAAGACTAACAGAAGTATTGGAGCATAAGCTTTCGTGGGTGAATGCCCACTTCATCAGACGCAAGAAACAGGACCCTCTGTTTCAGTTAAGAACTTACTTTTTGTAGTTAGATAGATACTTATGCCTAAGGCCTAGCCTACTGTAGACCATAAAGTCTTTCTCTTTGTTATTACTGTTTTAATAAATTAGTTCTGTAAAATATTTGACAATTTTGACATGATTTGACAATATTTGACTTGTCGTTGACCAATTATTTTTGGACTAGTCAAATGCTCACGCTACTTGAGTGAATCAGATACCCCTTTTCTTTAGGTGCAGTTATAAAGCAATCAAAAGAACAGAAAGAAGCATGGGGGTATGTAACAGTCAGAAGCAATGCACACATGTTCTGGTGGCTCTACTATGCAAACAACTCTGCCAAAAATTTCACGGAATTACCGCTCATTATGTGGCTTCAGGTAAGATATTGTGAAAGACATTTTTAAAGGAATCTTGATTTCTGCACCTTTCAGCATAGTGATCTGCCATGATAGTCTAGCTACACAGAAATAAGATTCTGAGCTATGACTTATTCTCTGAGTCCTGTCTGAACTAGGTTTTCAGGTTACAAAAGAATACTGAAAATGTTAAAAAGCAATTATCTAAATTAATGGGACACCTCACCAGAAATATGTCTTTAGCTCTGATCACCCTATATCAAGAAGCATATAGCAGAAACCAAGACAGTTCATTATTTTTTGGATTGTGATTGTACTTAGTGACCTCAACCCCTTTGTGCTAGGCTCCCTGTGAACACGTAACTAAAGGGCAGCTCCAACAGTCTGAAGTCAGGAGAGAATTGGTGAAAATGATTAGAGGCCTAGAAAGATTTCCGTATGGAGAGGGAAAAGATTGGGACTTTTAGTTTAGAGTGGAGACCAGTTCTATCCAATCAGAGCAGTTCAAGGCAATTTGTTGTGTGTGTGTGTGTGTGTGTGTTATACTCACACACACAAATCCTAGACAGTATATTACAGGAGCTAATGTTGAATATAATCCACCAGTGGATGCAGTCTTTCACATTCCGGATTAATTCTGCAATGTGTAGTGCACATCCCGTGCACCTGGGGAAAACTGACTATTATACATGCACCAGCTCAGTAGCTGACTCTTCCATACCCTACCGCACTGAAGTGTGCTCATCTCTGCATGGGAAGAAAAGCTTCAGAATGGTATCTGCCTGGCACAAAGATAATCAAATCCTCTCACAAATTAGTGATTGAGTCTTTTAAATTCCTCTCTCCACAAACAGGGCATATCTATAATGAAGGAAGACAGGGGCTCCCTTTGCATTTTAGCATGCAGCACACAAACTAGTCCTATATAACTCCAATGATCTAACTCTATTGGTGTGTCTTGATTCTAATTAGCTTTCTTGTTTTGTTTTCCCCCGTAGGGAGGTCCAGGAGCTTCAGGCTGTGGATTTGGGAACTTTGAAGAAATTGGTCCCTTGGATGCAGAACTGAAACCAAGAAATACAACCTGGGTATAGTAGAAAGTTTAAGATTGGTAATCTTAGCTTTTACTCATTGACTTATAGATGAGATCCTTGCCTTCTTAGTCAGGTGATAGACCAGGACAAAAATGCCCCAAGCAGTACAGTGTCCATCTGAAATTCAACTCTTCCTAAGACCAGAATTTTTCTGTAGTTCTACTTTTGATCCAACAAAAACACTTAAAGTGGTGTTGAACCATTCTCCTCCACATGTTTGCAATCACTTGCTTATCTTTGAATACTTTCTCCCTAAAATGCTGTAGTTGGAGAAACAGCTGCTCAGAGCAGCTCATTTAAGCATAGGCTTACCCATTTGATTTGGTGGAGGAAACATGGTTTGGTGAACTTGTCGGTAATAAAACGTCTGGGACTGGGAAAAGGGGAAATCTGCCTGTATTAGTAATTGAATGGAGACTTCATACAAATCTCCTTTCTCCTGGTTGTATAGCTGCAGGCAGCCAGTTTACTGTTTGTCGATAATCCCATTGGCACTGGATTCAGTTACACAAATGATAGTGATGCGTTTGCAAAAGATCTCTCCACTGTATCTTCCGATATGCTGGTTCTGCTTAAAGAATTCTTCAGGTCGATGAAAGAATTCCAGGTAAGGAATTCTAATTTTGTTTAGCAACGTTAAATAAAAGTGTGGTTCTAACTAAGGCATCAGAGAGGATTAGTAAACAACTAGACAGAGGAAGATAACAGCCTCTCCAGAGAGTAGCATATGCCACTAGCTACTGCACATAAGAACAGCCATATTGGGTCGGACCAATGCTCCATCTAGCCCAGTATCCTGTCTTTCAATAGTGACCAATGCTAGGTGCTTCAGAGTGAATGAAAAGAACAGGGCAATCATCAAGTGATCTATCCCTTGTCTTCCACTCCCAACTTCTGGCAGTCAGAGGCTAGGGACATCAAGAGCAGGGGTTGTATCCCTGACCATCTTGGTTAATCACGATTGATGGACCTATCCTCCATGAACTTACCTAAATTCTTTTATTAACCCAGTTATAGTTTTGGCCTTCACAACATCCCCTGGCAATGAGTTCCACAGGTTGACTTTGCATTGGGTGAAGAAGTACTTCCTATTGTTTGTTTTAAACCTGCAGGCACAACTGATGTCCTTTTTTTCTCCCCAGTTTAAAGTTGACATTGGATGTCTAACTGACATCTATTGCAGCTGCATTTATTTGTGCTGCTGTCCTTGACCCCAATCCTCCATTCAGGCCGGTGGATTCTTGTGCCTGTAGTGAGCTCCACTGAAGACAATGAAGCTCTGTGCACAGAGCATTGTAGGATCGTAGCCTCTTTAGGTGCAACTCAGAATGAATAAACAAAATAGCTAGTGTGTGAGGGATGAACAGGTGCAGTTTGGGTTTTGTGTGGGTGGCGGAGGGTGGGCAAAACGTATATTGCTCTGGGAGCCTAATAGCCTTATGGTATGGTTTCCTTTTCCAGACTATTCCATTCTACATCTTCTCAGAATCGTATGGAGGAAAAATGGCAGCTGGAATCGCTTTAGAGCTGTATAAGGTAAAGCAGATCCTTCCCTATGTGAGTAAATAACAGCTTCTTCCCTGGCAGCATGTGTATTTCTCACATCTTAAAGAAGGGTCTAATGGTGTATTTGATTTTTTGTTTTGTTTTTGAGTAGGAGCTTTTTCATTTTTAGAGAGTAAAGTTTGTTCACTGTAGACGAAAAAGATCTCAGTCAAGCTAAGAAGTGGATAACTAGGAAATGATTACATTGTGCCCCATGTCTCAGGGGTTAAATGGAGCACAGGCAGCCTGGTTGGGGTAGATTTTCAAAGGCACACAGGGTAGTCAGGTGCTCGACTCCCATTGGAAGTCAGTAGGAGTTGGGCACCCAATTCCCACTTGTGCCTTTGAAAATCTGCCCCATAAATTCTTTAGCCCAGAGTCAGTTGCTTGATTTGGATGATTCAACAATGTCCTGAATACACCATGTGCCTCTGACAAGTGACACGGCTCTTGAGGGCTCAAGATCACTGAAAGAAGCAGCTTATTCTCAAAGGCTCAAACTGAATTAGAAATTTCATAAAACTTTGAGCTTCCATAACTGGCTTGTATAGATACAATGCACATGCAAACCATGTACTCCCTTCCTATCTTCCTTCTGCTGGTGCTGTTGTCTTATCCTATGATAATCATGTCAGGCCATGAAGTTCAAGAATGAATTCAGCGACTCTTACAGAGCCTCCTCTTACCAAGACAAGTGCCAATGATGAATTGATAGACATTTGGAACGTAAATGGACTCTCATCAGATCTCATTTGTCATTGTGTTTTGATGCTAGTTAAAATGAAAGGGTTGTTTCCTGTAACACTGTCATAAACAGACAGTTAAGGGTTAATACCTCTTTTACCTGTAAAGGGTTAAGAAGTTCACCTAGCCTAGCTGACACCTGACCAGAGGAACCAATACGGGGACAAGGTTTTTCAAGAGGAAGGAGGGAAGTTTTCCTTTGTCTCAGTGTTCGTTAAGTTTTGTGCCGGAGAGAAAAAGATCCAAGAATCAGCCTCTTATCAGAGTAGTGAGTATTAGAGAAGAAATAAATAGGTTTATGTTTATTTTCTTTTGTGACTTGTCTTGTGCATAAAAGGGATAATCAAATTGGGATTTCTTTTGTGTAACTAAGGTTTTGCCCAGGGGAACATCCTCTGTGTTTTGAATCTGTTGTCTGTGAGAGAAGCTTGTATGCTCTCTCCCAGAGGTTTTCCTTTCATCTTTCTTTTTTTAATTAAAAGCCTTCTTTTTAAGAACCTGATTGCTTTTTCCTTGTTTTAAGATCCAAGGGGGTTGGATCTGGACTCATCAGGAATTGGCGGGGGAAAGGAGAGGGGATGGTTAATTTCTCCTTGTTTTAAGATCCAAGGGTTTGGATCGGTGTTCACCAGGAACTTGGTGGAGAAGTCTCTCAAGGCTATCCAGGGAAGGCTTATAGTACTTGGGAGGGAGATATTTTGGGGGGGAAGACAGAGTTTCCCAAATGACTCATAAACAGCTGTTTTGAACGATTTGGGTGGTGGCAGCATACTGATCTAAGCTGGTAATTAAGCTTAGGGATTCTCATGCAGGTCCCCACATCTGTACCCTAAAGTTCAGAGTAGGGGTGAAACCTATGAGAAACACAAAGGCACTTCTGCTTATCTTGCATTGTGAAGCCTGTTTCTACCATTTGCTGGTTAAGGAGAAGAACTAGCTAGAAGATCCTTGTTTACCGAAATGTGTGTTAAAAGCTGTCTTTACGTTATTTTCAAAGGCTATTCACGATGGGAGCATAGAGTGCAATTTTGGTGGGGCTGCTCTTGGAGATTCATGGATTTCTCCTGTAGGTACGTTTATAGGATTTTTGTGAACTTCTCCCTCTCCCCAAAAAGTCCACATCAGTCTAGAATACTGTCTCTGCTACTTTAAATGGAGCAGATCTCCAGTGAATGCTGGCAATCTAATCAGGGTAAATGTACATTGATGTTCCAAGGAGCTGTAATTAAACCAGCCCCACTCTAGAGGAGTCAAAAATTCAAAATGGCTAGTAACAAACTCATATTCCTTTAGATGGGTGGCCGGGGAGTGTCCCTAAAAGTCACTAAAAGTCTGAAGTATTTCAGTAAACAAATGCTTCAGTTAAGGTTTAGCCACTGAAGGATTCACAAGGCTGCAACTGAAACTGTTTTCTCCGTGGTACTTAGAAGGATGGCGTGCTGAGGGAGGGCTATTCCAGCCTCCTTCCTTTCGCCCTGTGATTGGCATGCTCCTTGATTTGGTGGCTGTTGATTTTGGGCATCCAGAAACTGTGAAACTCAAATGTGAGACTGCTTGAGGCCTGATTTCTCAGAAATGCTGAGAACCCACAACTCCACCTGAACCCTGCACCTCTGAATAGCAGGTCAAAGGTGTCTCCAGGTGGGCACCCAATCTCCGGTGTACACTCTTGAATAGTTTGGCCTTATGTGATCCAAGCACATTTTAAAAATGGAGGTAGGAAAATGCCTGTTTTACCACTAGCCTCTACAGTAGGTAGGGGGCTTTACATCGGGAGGTCTAAGTGTTCCTAAATTTCCACCCCATCTGGCTTTTAAACTACTGTTTGCATTTTACCAACCATCTCTAAGTTTACCGCTAACATTAGAAGCCACCAGCCACAGCAGTGTGATAGTCAACAAAGCTGGGATGACTGTTTGCTTGGGGAAAAAATGGCAGAGTTGAAAGCATTTTTTAGGGTCCTGATCCTACAGTGAGATCTACATGGGCAGGCCCCATTGGAGGAGCTGGATTTAGATTCGGGAAGTTGAAGGGTGGGAAGCTATAGGTTTACCTTAAATAATCTTCCCTACCTGTGCTACAAATAACAACACTGGCTTATAACTTATCTTCAAAAATCTGACTTATTTATATTTTTTGTCCTCTTGCACTGTTTGCAAACAGGTGAACATTGACTACGCAAATCTGTCTACATGTTCTCATGCACTAGCACAGTGCTGCAATGTTTCAGTTGCAAATGCTGCAGGAGAAATGTCTATTGGTTGCTTTAAACAGTTCCATTGGCTAATGTGTGGGGAGCTAATGTCATGGTGGTGGGTTTAGGCTTTGTAAACAGCTTCAGTGCCTACATTTTGTACTAAATTTGATCTGACAATGCCTCTTTATTGAGTAATTCATCTTTGCCTCTCTATGCTGCTGTCACTATTATCCCTGCTATATTAGAGGGAAAATTTTGTCAGAGAAATTGTTAGATGCTTGAAACCTATTTTGTTTCTCTAGATTCTGTGCTTTCCTGGGGGCCTTACCTTTACAGCACTGTAAGTATCTACTCCATCTCTGCTATTTGCAATAAGTGTTCTGGTTTTTAAGGCTTCATTCAAGACCTTATATTATACAATTTAAATCCAAGAGGAGACTTCCATTTCTAGGTTAGCTTTCAACCAGTACAATGATAATTATACTGATAATTAACAGGGCATGACATAGACTTATGGCCTCAAATCAAATTCCTTCCATGAAAATTGGTTGTTCTCTCCCTGTTTGCATTCCAGTCTCTCCTTGATGATCAAGGTCTAGTAGAAGTGACTGCCGCTGCCAAAAAGGTCATGAATGCAGTGAATAAAGGGCAGTACACACTGGCCACTTTGCTCTGGTGTCATACCGAGGATGTAATTGAACAGGTATGAAAATGCTGTCTGGCATCAAGATTTGTAAGTTACTTATGCTAATTGCTTATGGAAATGAACAAATTCAGGTAACGCTCTGCTATTAACGTACAGAAGGGGCAGATTTTCCATTATCCCGCTCCTTGTGCAGTTGTTCACACCAGTGCACTCAGTGTGCCACCATGCTGACTTGAAAGCATTTGATGCTGTCTTTGCACTGGTGTTAATGACTACACAAGGTGGTAGGCAATGTAGAATGAGGCCCAGATGGGTGCGAAGCAGTACAGCACTAAGGTTTTGATTCAGTAAAGCACTTAAACAGATGATTTAAAGTAAAGCACATAAATAAGACCAGCTGCAGTGTGTATGTAACAGGGGATGGCACAGCTGCTCCACTTTGGTTGTTGCTAAGGAATGATTTATGATTTCTACATCAGAACTTCTAAATATTTAAAATTTAATTATGGGAAATTTGTAGGATCTTGTTTTTAATTCTGAGTAACTTTAATGGAAACACATCTCTTTTCTGGTCCATGTCCAGTCTATTGGCTGTATTAGGGATGTGGTGAATCCACAATTCTTAGATATGATGAATTGGCTGCATCAGTTGTTCCAGAATATGGATGTCAGATATTGAATGTCACTATCAGAAGGGAGCGCGTGGGATGGCTGAGGCTGGTGTGATAGGAGGAAACTGAGCAATGGGAAGCCTCACATAGGGAAGGTCTGGCCGAAGGGAGCATCTGGGAGTTCTGTGGCACTGAGACTATGGCTGCAGCTGGTGGAAACTCTGGAGCCATGGATGGGGTGGCGGGATTCAAGGAGATTCCCTCCTCTTCAAGGCTAGGTAAGAAAATGAGTAGCAAGGCCTATGCTCTCCCTCACTCTCTCTCACACACAGTTGTGTGTGAACCTTGGGAACTGGAAAAATCCCTTTCCCAAAACCCATCATCAAAAAGGAGGGGAGCAAGGGACCAAATGTCTAGTCTGATATATCCTCTTCTCTCCCTCTTTCAGAACACTGACAACGTGAATTTCTATAACATCCTAGCCAAGAAGTCTCCAGATCTCAAAGCCTCGAAACATGAAAATACCCATCTTCGTAAGTTGAGAGGAGCACGTTTATGAAGTTAAGCTTCCAAGGGCCTGATTTGCAGAGGTGCTGAGCACCCAGACGTGTGGTTGTAGGTGGTAGGAACTGTCAGTGGCTACCACATCTTGCAAAGATGCCTCCAGTGTTCTCAAGTCCTGAACCTACTGGCCTCCGTACAAGGAGGGCTTGAAGAATACTCTTGAGGGATATACCACAGCTCTTCTGTGGCATATGATTCCACCTAGATACATCCTGTGCACCCTGGATATTAGTCACAGGCAGTAATAAATACATTACCGTGGAACTTCACAACCTATGAACTAACTATGTCCTCCAAACACTTGCATGAGATGATCTGATTAGACACTTGCCTCCATCAGCCTTCACGCCATCACTTCTTCATCGCCTTTAAATGTTGACATGGAAATAAAATAACTGTTTTTATTACTGTCTCTGTTGGCTCCCAGAGACAGATGAGGGTGGAGAGATGAGGTGAAGAACCCTCCTTACTTTTAAAAGTAACAAGTGGTTGCAGCTCAAAACTAACTCGTCTGGTGATGAGAAGAGTTGATGTTCAGGCTTACTAGCTAAAGCAGAAACTTAGCCCCAGAAATGTACTGTTGGGAACAATATGCCCTGGCAGAAAAAGGAACAAGATAATGACTCTGTTCCTCTTCTATCTTCTGACCATGCTATAGGCTGATTCTCTCTTCTACTGTAGACCTCTTAAAACTCAGCAAGTCTCTTCCTCTGTGTACTATTGCGGTTTCAACAGCAAAGAGTTTCTTAGGTCTGAACTGAATGAGCCTCGATAAGACTTGTTTTTGCCTTGTGGTGTTTGTTTATCAGACACCATCTTCATGCATATCAATCATCTTTAAATCCAACACCCTGTGCCGCAGAATAAACTCTTTTCTTTCCTTTCAGTTAAACTTTACCAGCGCCATGTCGAACGTCTGCATAAGGACAGCTTAAGTGACCTGATGAATGGACCCATCCGAAAGAAGCTGACAATCATTCCTGACTCTGTCACATGGGGAGGTACCTTCCTACCCTCTGACATGGCTCTAATGGGCAGCTTGTCACTTACACAATATTGTAGTCTGTTCAAAGCAGTCTTGATGCTGTACCACAAAGTCTCCCTGACTTGCTTGTTAAAATTCTCATCCTGCTTGGGCCCAACTGTGGGACAGGCTCCTAAAAAGGACCCACAACAGGGAACTGGGCAGGCCTATGGGCATAGGCATGATTCTGGTCCTTGTGTCTTCCTCTCTCGCCTGCCAGGGTCTAACTAGGTGCACACCCTGGCACGGAGAGTATGCCTCATGCCTGAGCAGCTGAAACCTATCTGTGCAACTCAGTCTGCCAAAAGGATTCCTAGCCATTCTCCTCTCCAGAAAACCAGTGCTGTGAGAGTTCAGGGAAAGGAGGGCGTAAATCAAACCAGAGGGAAACAGAGCAATGCTGAATACCTGCCAACACCCCTCCAGATCTGTAATGGGAGATGGAAACTGACAAATCCGCATGTGAAGTACTGTTAGAAACATGTCCTGTGCTGCTTTGATAGCCCCTGTATATATGTGGAATTTGGCCATTCTCCATTTCTCTCCAGTCACTCAGACTGATCATTGTGGTCTGGAATGTACCGTTCCAGTGCTTGCTTTTCTGCAGCAACAAATTGCATTTCACAACTCTTGGCACGCCCTGCTGCTGATGCTTCCATTTAAAGATGACACACTTAGTCAATTGCACTGTCTTTCATGTTTGGATCTGTCTGAATAGGTCAGTCAAAAGAAGTCTTCTTACACATGGCCGAAGACTTCATGAAGCCTGTCACTGATATTGTGGATGCGCTGCTGGCAGCCAATGTCAACGTTACTGTCTATAACGGACAGCTGGATCTCATTGTGGACACCATGGGTAAGGATTCATTCTTCTTCTCTCTGAAGAGAAAGATGTACACTGGTCATTAACATTTGTACTTGAATCTGTATGCCGGCCCCTATACAATCCCCCCATCTATAGTACTTACATAGTCCCCACTACTATAATACCTACGCACCTCACAGTCTTTAATGTATTCGTCCTCACAACACCCCTGAGGAAGGGCAGTGCCATTTCCCCTGTTTTATAGATGGGGAACCAAGGCAAGAAAGGACTAAGTGACTGCCCCAGGGTCACACAGGAAGTCTGTGGCAGAGCAGGGAAGTGAACCCAGGTTCCCAGGGCCTAGGCTACTGCTCTAACCAATGGATTATCCTTCCTCTACATTGAGGTACATTTCTATATCTTACAAATCACACTCTGTCACCTTTTCAGGAACACAGGCAATAGACACCTAGATCTTATGCGCTTTAAAGTTTTCTTGGAGAGGGTTTAAGCTGGGTTTGTTCCCAGAAAAGACCAGGAATTCAGTTCCCAAAATCCACAGATTCCTCACTCACCCACCCACACACACTCCATGGTGCAGTGATGGGAGGGCAGCTCTATGTAGGGGTTAGTGCCTCCAACTGCTCCCGGGTGCTCTTCCTTCATGCTGTCCCTTAGTACTCTTGGCAGAGCACCCTGACTGCTGCTGGGAGAAGCAACATGGCCCATATACTCCACACACATTTTTGCATCCCTGTAGAGCCCCTGTATTAGTTTTTTGGAAGGACACAAGGGAGCTGGCTGCCCCCTGACTATCCCATCCTGCTCAGACCCATGGGCTTGGGTCCCCTCCTTTCTGCTCACACGATGCTATGGGAGAGAGAGCATAGGTGGGTATGGCTGCTTCTTCCATGTAGCGTTCCACTGAAGCTATTGAACAGACCTAGAAAAGTCTGTTTGCCATGCTGGATAGTTAACTATCCCTAAATAATTCTCAGTTAATTAGATTAAAGCCCACTCTGCTGGGAGCATTAACTCTACGCTGATGTGACTGGTAGTAAATGATGGTACCTGAGGCCAATTTTTTCCCCTTCTATGGCAAAATAAGATCACTAAAAGCAGACTTGAAAAGTGGCTTTCAAGCAGTTTTTTTTAAACAAGGACTGTTTCTTTCAGAAGTTCCAAGTGGCTTATAAAATACACACAGTGGTTGAGACATCCGAAAAGATGCACCAAAATGGGCACATTGCGTCACTCAGTAAATCACGCAACGCTTCCGTATGTGCCAATAGTTCCAGCTCAGTCTGCTGAAGCGGTTAGTGCGGCTCTCCTCATCCAGAAGAACAGCTGCACACTCAATTGGGCTGCACCTCTGAGTTGTACTTTGAGAGATACAGCTCAGAATCTGTCCCGCAGTCCTGAGGACACTGCTAACCATAGCTCCATGAGGAATAGGATTCACTGTTGGAAACTCACTTTGCAAGAGTTGGGAGGTAGAAATTACGTTTGAAGGGAAATGCTGGCCTAGGTCTCAGATCACAGGGATTTGGTGCTAGGAGATATCCCCCCCACTCTAAGAATTTGATCACATTAGTTGCATCTCTACCATGCTTACCTCCAGCTTCTTGAATTACATACTATGACATAACTCCTAACTATGTCGACGTAGTGTAGTTTGCCAAGCGCAGCAATCCAAACCTTGCTACTCCTGAGATGGAGCCAACAATAAGGGTAGATCCTGGTTTGTTTGTTAGTTTTATTGCTGTCTGACCCTAGCCATTACTGGGGGGGTGTGTGGTTTACTTCATTGTCTTTTCTCTTATGTCTTTCCAGGCATCACAGATTACGCTGGTGGCGTATTTTGTTATTACCTATTTTACTACGTGCTAGGTATTTTATAGCACAAAGAAAGAAGTGGCCCCTCCTCTCCAAAAGCACAAATAACTGAATTATCATCTTTCCGGCCTGATGCTCTGACTCTGTCAACCATCCCCCTGCACAGAGCCACACCTAGTTGAATCCCTCCACTGGATGCCCCTTATCCACTAGATCAGGTGCAAGCTTCTTGCCCTCTCCTTTAAGGCCCTTCACAGTTCTGCCTCTCCATACATTTTACCACATCACCCCATCCACTCTAGCCTTGCTCCCCCATTATGTCTACTTCCCCCTGTGACAGGGTTGGGATTCATCACCACGGCGCTTCCCACTGATCGCTCCGGGAATTAGTTCAGTCCTTGGCGGGGCACCCTCTACTGCTGGTGTCCCATCCATCCTCTGCTCTCTGCTGGTGTCCAGACCCACGTTGCTCCCCGCTCAGCGATGTCCATTTCAGGCCACTGCCCTCCGGCAATGCCCCCTAGTCCATCCTCACCCCCTTCTGGGGGTGGGGGGTTTAACCACAATCTTTCCCTTCAGCCACAGTGACCAACCACACCCCAAAGTCTAACCCCATGTGTCAGGGGTCTGGTGCAGTCCACTATGGCCAGTTCAACAGCCAGGTGTAATACAAGAAGGAAGGGGGAGACCCAGGCCCACCCTCTACACTGGGTCCTGACCCAGGGACCCTTTGGCAGCAGCCTTCCTGGCCTCCATCTCTCCCCTTGTGCACCTCTCTCCCTGGGCCACTTCCCCTTCAGCCTCTTTGCACCGGGTTAGGCCCTTCCCTCAGGGCCTGCAGGCTGGAGTTCCCTTCTGCTCCCCCAGGCCTGCCTAGCACTGCGCTGTCCCAGGTGCTGGTCTCCTCACTCAGGAGACAGACCTTCCCCCTCTAAAGATCTGGGAGAGACTGCCTGCGCCTTTCCTGGGCAGCCTTTATATAGCGTCTAGCCTAGCCCTCATTGGCTGGCTCTAATCTTAGCCCTGATTGGCCCCCAGTAAGCCCTTCTTTAGTTGGCTGCTGGCCTGCGCAGCCGCTCTGGCCTACTCTAGTCCCCAGTCACACACCTCCACACAAGAATTTATGGGCCTTCTTCCAGGCAGCCCCCTATGTGAGGAAGGCCCTCTAAATTTATCAGTAAAGCCAATGCCCCCCTCCCTTCACATCAAATACTCTCACAACCTACTTTTTCCATGATGCCTCCACATAATTAGCCCACTAACTAATCACAAACTAAGGAGCTGTGAGGTGACTATATATTTATATATGCAAAACATGACTGGTGTACATAAAAAAAAATGGACATATTTATTTCATTCCTTTCTCCTGCCCTACTGATATTGATTGTATCGGATGGCAGGCCCTTTGGGACAGGGACCATGTCTTATTATGTGTTTGGACAGAACCTAGGACAAGGTGGCCCAATGCTGACTGAGGACTCTGGGCGTTACCAGAATAGAAACCATTAATAATGGTGTCGGAAGTGACACAAGGAGTGAGCCTAATGATCAGTCTGGAGAGGGTGGGGTTGAAGGACATGTGCAAATGCCCAAGAGCACATGCTTGCTCAGCTTAAGCACATGTACATTGCAGTTGGTCAAAAGTTTTTGTTTGTCTTTAAGAGACTCCACACTTGTGAAATGAAGCTTGTGGTCCACATTAGGTGTCACTGGAATATCTCACTCTGCAGCAAATCCCCAGAGTTCATTCTGTTTCCTTTTTTTCCTTTGTTAAAATAGTCTCCTGTACTGATCTGGGCAAACAATCCTCTCGTATTATGGAGTTTTATTGCTGTAATCTCTCAGCCCCTAATTGCTAAGAATAGACGACCCAAAGCTCTCCTTTTCAATTCCTTTTCATGGACAGCCCAGCAATCAATAATTCTTTAAATAGATGCTGTTTAGGACGTCAAAACTGGTAAGACAAATTGGAGTGCCACAAATTGCTAATTTTGAGGTAAAATTAAGCTGCACTTCTTACAGCATGAATTGCTGTAGTAACTGAGCGGTGGTTTTAAAAACAGTAATAGCTTTTTTAAATGTCTTCGAACGGGTCTCTTTATTTGCTGTCTCAACATTCTTCTCCTCCCTAGCTTGGGTCTTGAAAACAGATGTCGCCTTTTCAGACTCTCCTGTTTGAATGACTGTAACAAACAGCAAAACACTGGCCCTAATGCAGAGCGTGTTTCCAACGTGTGCTTGTGCTATCACAGCTTGTGCTGTCAGCTTGATCCTGCAGGGTGCTGAACAGCCTCGATTCCTACAACCTGGGGGACAGGGAGTCCAGCAACGTGCCGGACCGGTGCTTGTATTGGTATCGATATACATTTAGAACCAGAATGAGGCTTATTTTGCCCAAGTATGCATTATGGTGGGAACCGCCTAACATTGGTCTTGTGTGCCTCCCCTGAGCTGAGGAATTCCTACCTGCCAGTGTTTCCATCTTTAGGTTTCTGTGGAGCAAGGGAGGGCTTCAGGATGTTGTGTGCGAAGGGGAATGAGAATATGCTGGAGTTGCTATTGCATAAAAATGCATCAAATAAAAATGACTTGCTTACAAAATCAGACATCAAAATATAAACGTGTCACAGTTCTTAGAACTGATCAAAACCCTTGGGTCAACTTTTGGAATTTTCACAAGCCTCTGTCCCCCAGGGAAGAATATCCTTTGAAATTTTTAATTAAAAGTTGTTGGTTTTTTTTGTGGTTGCAAAAAAAAAAAATTTGTTTGAACATTCAACATTTTTTGACCGACTATACTTGCTATATATTTGTTCATATCGCGTCTAGAATAATGGGACACCAATCTCAGTTGGGACCTTTAGATGCTGCCTTACTATAAACAATTAATAATGAACCATAACTCTTCTATCCCTAACTTAGGCCAGGAGGCATGGGTTCGGAAACTGAAATGGCCTAAACTGAAGCAGTTCAGCCAACAAAAATGGAAGGCTCTGTATGGATCTCCAGAGTCCTCTGAGACAGCTGCTTTCCATAAGTCCTATGAGAACTTGGCCTTCTACTGGATTCTAAAGGCTGGGCACATGGTAAATAGCACATTTGCTGAAAGACAAAAGAAACCTAATATTAGTCAAGTTGTGAATGATGTATTTGTCTGCTTTGCCTGCATATTATGGCTAAATGCTTTCCCACATTTGCATGAACACTCCCGAATCAGACTATGTAGATTATTCCTTTGATTAATTAACTTCCTGGTTTGGAGATGTGGCTTACACTCAGACTTTACATAGCACAGACTTAATGGGCCTTATTCTCCCTTTCTCTGTACTGGTGTCAATGACTATGCATTGTGTGAAGCACAGGTTGTAAAACGCTGCCTTTCTGGTTTGGTAGCATTTTACACCCAGTACTTTGCTCGGGTTTAATTGACCATCGAATAAGGTAATGGAAAATCAGATCTTAATTCAATACTGTCTCTCTAAATTGTTTGAACAAAGAGCGGTAATCTGCATTTCATCCATCTTTGTAACAGGGTGTAGATGTATCTACTGTATTGAGAAAAATGTAATCTTTATGTTCTGTACAACAATCCAGAACCATGGGAGGAGGGTAAATCTTAATTGCACTTTCCTTGCAGAGTCCAAAATATTAGAAGCCTATTCAGTCAACACACTGAGGCTTGTTTAAGGGTTTGTTTACACTGGCACTTTACAGCGCTGCAACTTTCTCGCTCAGGAGTGTGAAAAAACCTCCCCCTGAGTGCTGCAGGTTTCAGCCCTGTAAAGTACCGGTGTCGACAGTGCACCTCATGGAGGTGGTTTGTTTAGAGCGTTGGGAGAGTTCTTTCCCAGCGCTATGCCACGACTACACAAGCCATGTTAAAGCGTTGCCGCGGCAGCCCTTTAACATTGCCGGTAAAGATGTGCCCTAAGTCAGTGCTTCTCAAAGCCAGTCCGCCGCTTGTGCAGGGAAAGCCCCTGGCGGTCCGGGCCAGTTTGTTTACCTGCCGTGTATGCAGGTTCGGCTGATCGTGGCTCCCACTGGCTGCAGTTCGCTGCTCCAGGCCAATGAGAGCTGCTGGAAGTGGTGGCCCGCACATCCCTCGGCCTGCGCCGCTTCCCGCAGCCCCCATTGGCCTGGAGCGGCGAACCACGGCCAGTAGGAGCCGCGATCGGCCGGACCTGCCAACACGGCAGGTAAACAAACTGGCCTGGACCACCAGGGGCTTTCCCTGCACAAGCGGCGGCCCGACTTTGAGAAGCACTGCCCTAAGTGAAGAGCACCAAACTGTATCTAGCAGCTTCCCAGCCGGAAACAGTTTCAGAATGCAGCCACCTTAATTCACTTCTGTTTCTTGGCCTTGCCATGGAATTTCCCATAATTAGTGACTTTTAGGCCTTCAATGAATATTTGTTTCCACCATCCTAATGCCCTGTTGTTGCACTCTTTATTTCCCTCCTTAGCAGAAAAGTCTTAATACATATAAATCCTCTCCCTTAATGACCCTCGAGAAATGTTACCACTGGGAGCACCAAAAAGTAGAACTAAAGGACTCAAGAGCTGATTATCCTTTAACTGGCTTTTTTTTTAAATGGGAGTTC